CACCCCCCCCTCCCCGGAGCGCGCCGGGAGCGGTTGGAGTCCCGCATGGCCCGGAGCTCAACTGCGCTACTGCTGTCGCCTCTGATGCTCCTGCTGCTGGCGACCCCGGCGCAGGTCTCCCCCGACTACCATTACTTCGGCGAGCAGGGCAAAGGCGACACTTGGGAGCAGCTGCGGCTGCAGCTTCTGGGGAAAGGTAAGTGCAGGCGGAGAAAGGTGCCCCATCGCCCCACTTTGCCAGCTGGCTGCAAACGGACCCTCCTCAGTGGACTTCAGATCTCCGCCCAGCCTCGCACTTGGCGGCGTCCCTTGGGCTGGTCACTTTTCTCCGAGGCTCAGTTTTCTCATCTGTAAACTGAAATAGAGACTGCCTTTAAGCCGCTTACACGTGGAGAGGGGGCGTGAGCTGGGCCCAAGCAGACACATCCATAAGCACACGGGTACGTGGTGTGGTAGGAAGCGCAGAGAAGGGAAAGAAGGCAGCAGGTCAATTGCTGACGCCTGAGAAGGCCTGGCTGAAGAAGATAGGTAACCAATGCTGTAGCTGGACAAGTGGAATGAAGTTAACGAGAAGAGGACGTTCTGCCAGGAAAAGGCGGGAGCCTGCAAGCAGGCCACGTCAGAACAAAGTCTTGCACGCAAGACTTATTGTTCAGAGGCAGAACTTTCCTTGAGGTGATAAATAGTCCATGAGGGCATGGAAAGCCAGGGAGGGTACACTGCTGCAGGTGGAAAGGGTCTTTGTATAACATAGGAAATTAATAGTGTAATGTATAACTTAGCTCTGATGATCTCATAAGCATGCCTGTTAATCATTGTCACTTGCTGTACTCCATTGTTATTTGCTGTACTCCCCAGATAAAAGCCATGAGGGCTTTGGGGGCTTTGCTACACGCCTGAGCCAGCGGTAGCCCTCTGCTTCTCTAAACTTAATCCTGCACGCCAAGCTCATCTCAGCCCGTTCACAAAGAACATCAATATCTGGCGCCTGAACAGAACAGGGACCTGAAGGCGAGTAATTGGGGATCCGGCAGGACCGAAAGGGAGATGCCAGCGCAGAGTACCCGGAACGTTCGGCAATAGAAGCAGAGTCATAGGGAATAGCCCGTCATTGCAGAGTCAATATCTCGCTGTCTTGCGGTCATTATTGAAGAGCTCAGAGGTAAAAGTGAAGGATGAGACTTTTAAAAAATTGTTTAAGGCAGTCCAGCAGCACTGTTGTTGGTTTAACCCAGAAGGAAAACAGCAGTTAGATCTTAAGTTGTGGAAACAAGTTGGAAAGTCACTAAGGCGGGCTCATCAACAGGGAAATGCTATAGAGGCTGATGTGTGGGCTATTTTTAATGTAGTAACGTCAGCTTTACAGCCTTTTCAGTCTGATTCTGAAGATTATGAAGAAATTTCTTTGAGGTCGCGAAGTGCTGCACTAGGAGCTGGGTGTTTAAGCCCTGAGCCTCTCCCTCCTGAGAAATTGCAACCCCCTGAGCCGCTCCCGGTTGCGGTCACTGAACCGAGGGAGTCAAGAAAGGGACAGAAAACTAGCTGTCAAAATGAATTAGAAGCTTATGAAAGAATAGCCTCAGCCAGCGATTCAGAGCTGGATGTTTCATTTTCCGCTGAGACGGATGGTGATATTTACACTAGCCTTAAGTTAAGGAAAAGAAAGAGAATAAAAGTCCTCAGGAATTGGCTGCACCTCCGCCGAAAAGTGAAAGTAAAATGGCACTAGCCTTTAATCCGGCGTTAGTAGCTGAGCCTCCACCCCCCCTCCTGAGGACACAAAGAGCTGCTAATGCTCAATACCCTCAAGGGTTAAATTTATACAGGTTATAGATTAATTAATTTATATATTATTAATTATAATGT